TGTTGTTTCTGACTGGTTAAAACAGAGTCTGTTATATCCGTGCCTTTAGCACTAATGTCTTTTGTCCACTGATGAAAACAGGCCCAAATTACTACCCGATCAGGTGAGGTTCTGAAGCCAGTCAGTAGCTTGCTGTTCTTTTCTTCGCTGAATGGCGCACACTTCAAGGCTTAAATAACATGGTTCCCACCATGTCGGACATGAGCATGCTCACCAAAACCAGTAGGTTTACACATTATTAGTTTTGAATGAAAAAAAAGAGAGATTTTGAATCAAACCATAGCCCCAAAAATCGGAATCAAATTGAATCAAATCGAGTCGTGAGATAGTAAAATATTTCCACCCCTGCTGTATGACATAAAATCAGTTGGTAAAAAAGTAAATAAATAAAAAGCATAGCATTGGAAGTGGAAATGCATTTCTCTCACCATTATTTATGCCATTCTTCATCTTATGTTGAGAAATACTGTATATCTGTTTTTATCAATCCTTGAATATATCATAATGCACAATTTCACTTGACAGAGCAAGATCTCACTCGGTTGATTAGTGCTTTGAGTGTGTGTCAAAGTCAAAAATAAAAACATAAAAAACAGGGGCGGCTCAACATTAAGTACGATCAAATAAAAGAGAAACAAAATAATGAYCTAACCAGCTTTTTGTTCATTGGCACAATATGGCCTTAGATCATCTTTTTATTTTTCTACACTTCTGCTGCACCCTGCCTGTTCTACAAGCCACAGTTTTGTCATTGGAAGAGCTGAAGCATCATAATGATTGTATAGAACAGTTTAATCCACAAATGCAGTGCTGATATTGTTAAGAAAGGCCAAACAAAAAAGAGGAGCAACTTGACCTGCAGCCGAGCCTGGAGCAGCTGCACAAGTTATTCTTAGTTAGGCTGTTGAATTATGTTTTGTTCCATGTTTTAGCAAATATATTTGGATTTGCATCAAACCTTTGTCTATGAGATATTTATAACTTAAAGAGTATTTATCAGATTTCTGCTCTCCTTGTTTTCCAGCTGGCCAACATGATCCTGCCTGAAGATGAAAACTTCCTGTTGGTTTTCCGCAGAGAAGCTTCTCTGTGCAACAGTGTTGAATTCATGAAGGTAAAAACAACCAAAGCCAAGAAGAAATCAATACAACACAAGYGTTATCAGCAGTGTGATATCCATGATGGTTACATGGTGGTAATAAAAACATCAGGGCTGCAAATAAGATTGCATCATAAAAAATAARTCAACTATTAGAAAAAGGCAAATATCAAAATTTCCTGATGAACTGATGGATGCAAATTGTTCATCCAACTTTGTAAGTTTTGAAAAAGGAATCATTAATTCTTTCTGCCGTCAATTTATTGAAAATCAACCCAATGTTAAAGCTTTTTTAAATTAAAGTTATGACGTAATTWTTTTATCCCTTTTTGTTGTACCCTTCTTAAACTCTGCTTGTTGACATCGTGTGTATATCACTTAATGCAAGAGACTTTAATTTAAAAGTCTAAAATAGATTAACCCTTTACCTTCTTTTTTTACTTCACACATGGGTGCTGCCAAGGAGGTGCCAGTGGGGGGCAACGGCCACCCCACTGTCCCCCCTTGGTCCTCTCGGGTCCCAAGCTTTTCCTTTGTGTTCATTTATAATTTCCCATAGCTATTTATTTAGGATTATAGGCACTAATTAAACATAAAACAAACATTTTTTAACAACTAGGAGTTAAAAGTATATTTTATTTAAAATTTTTAAATCAAACTCTATGGTCCCTAAATATGGACAGCCTGTCTAAAACCAATGAATCTAACAGGTTTTACCTACCGTATTTATTCGTGTATAATACAATCTCAAGTATAATACGATCATAATTTTTTGAGCTTAAAAAGCATTAAAAATCTAATTATCAATAACCTGTATATAATACTACCCCCCCCACACACACACTCACAGTTTATGGATGATTTTTAGGGTTAAATTTCTAGTACCATACATGAATAAATACAGTACTTGTATGTCAAAATTATACTGTTTTAAATTCAGCCTAGAATATTTCAATCTCAAACTGACTTTTTACAAAGACAATACAAAGTTCCTGTCTTTGCTTTATTGAAATGACCTGTTTCACATGAAGTTATTGTATTCCTGTTTTGTGAACGTTTGCTGATGTGTCCTGCTCTGCCTGTAGATCTGGAGGAAGTACGACGTTGACTGCAGTGGGTACATATCAGCTCAGGAGCTGAAGGTGAGGCTTCCAGCACAAACAAACGTCCATTTCCATTTACATCCAACTGATCCATGATAAAAGTCGTCTAAAGTCATCACACAGAGGAACAAAGTCAAGTCCAGAGACAGTCAAATTACATTCAACCCAATTCAGTCCTGATGGTTTTAGCAATTATTTACAAAAAGAATCTGGCATGGCAAACAGATTGTATCAGCTCTTTACTTTGATTCAATCTCCTGTCATGAGCCTGCAAAGGGCAGATGGCTAAAACTTGGTTTTAACAGGAAACCTCCAGGAGATGATTGCCATCTACCTCAAGGGAGGACAGAAAAGGGATTTATGAAAAAAACACTCAAGTCCAGAGATTTTTGCTATAGGAWAAAGGAAAAACAACATGGAGAATGAGTAATAAGGTAATAAGTAATGGCAGCAGAGTTAGAAGTGATCATGATTACAGAGAAACATCTGGTCAGCCAGAACTAATTTAAATAACAAAAATCTCTCAGCAGTGATGAACTAGAAGCTGTGAACTCAAATGAATGTTTGGCAACTTTTTATTTTTTATTCCAAAGGAAAGTTTCATGTGAATACTGACTGCGTTGTCAGCGAGGTCATCAGAGAATCCTTTAACTGAGRAAGCTAAATTCTTTTTTAACCTTCATGTCATTTTTATCAGTCTTTTATTGAAAGAATTTGAACATTTTCCTTTATTTAGTGGTTTTGTGGTCTTTCTGTAAAACACAAGAACAGCCTGAAGAGCATTGTCAAGGTTTGCTCAGAATAGTAAGGGTCCAGCAGAGCTGTATTATGAAGTGGTTTAATCATCTAGTTCAGTGTTTTACAAAGGGGGAACCACCAGGGGGCGCTAGGAAAGCTAAGAAAAAAATTAAAAAAATAACGTGCAATGTTGGTTTGTTAAATTATGTTAAACTAATGTAATTATTATTGAATAGTGAATAAAAGTGAGAAAAAACATTCTAAAAGTTGATGTTTCGTTTGTGGGTTTGCAAGGGGGGTCCCTGACCAGAAGCTAATGTTTGGGGGGTCATGGCATGGAAAAGTTTGGGAACCTCTAATCTAGCTCTGTCGGTTTGTTGTGCAGTTGGTTTGTTGTGCATATTTTTTCTCAATAGTCTTTGTTGTTTTAGGGAAATGGAAGCATTCTCAAATTTATTTCCTTACAAGGCCATTTTTTTCCTCCCAAAATATACTACCTCGTGAGGACCCACTGGTCTTTGTGGGGCCCAAAGCCTATGTAAGGTGCAGGCTATGTAAAGCCAAATCCTGCTTTGGTTTAGGATTAATGTGCGGATTAAGTGGGGTGGGGGTAGGGTTAGACTATAGAAAAGAACAAGTCAATGAAAGTCCCTGTGAAGATAGAAAGAAATGAAATGTGTGCATGTGTGTGTGTCGGTGTGCATGTGTGTGTAAATCTGGAACCTGCCAAACTGAATTGTCCTTTGGGGATAAAATAAAGTCGTCTGAACTGGATTTGATTTTAACTGATCTGTAAAGGAACAGCTTTCTATTTCAGCTTCTGACATATTTCAATGCTTGGTCTTTTAACTCATTGTGCTTTTCTGTGTGTGTGTGTGTGTGTGTGTGTGTGTGTGTGTGTGTGTGTGTGTGTGTGTGTGTGTGTGTGTTTAGGCTTTCTTAAAAGACTTGTTCCAGCATCACCAGAAAGATGTGTCCTCTGACAAGCTGGAGGAGTACACGGACACCATGGTAGTGGGAACGCACCTTGTAGGAATAAATGGGCTGTTCAAAAATGGCATGTCTGAATAAAACAGGAATCTAATGGATTTCTTCTTAAAAACTTTATTCTCAATCTTCTGACTCCAATCAGGTGCACAGCAGTCAGAMCTCAGCRTAAGGCTTTGGGCTGAAAACCCAAACAAAACAACYCAGTCCTGTCCAGGCTGGATCTAAGCAGAGACTCTGCAACACAACAAGAACTTCTTACTATAAAATGAAGTGACCTTATAATGTACATCTCTTCCTGGTTACACCCCTGGAGGTCTTACCTTTTACGTCTTTTTTGTTTAGACTAAAGAAAGAACACATGATAAGACACATACCAACTCTCATTCTGTTAATGATCAGAAAGTATAAAATACAATACTGCATCTAATATTCAATTAATCCATTACAAAATTTTCTTCAACCTGATAACAAAACTTATTTGTACATTTGATCAYGCAAAGACTAGTTTACAGCAAAAGTACATCTGTGTAATTCACTGCCACCAGGGCCTGAGCTACATCCCAAATAACCAACACTAAATTGCATGTGCAAAGTAAAAAAATTGCACGTGCTTTTGGTGGGTGTGGTACATGGGATCTACTAGGATTGTGTGTGCTAATGATAATGGGTGCAAAAAAGATGCTGGCTGCCCTGYTGAAATTTGATTTTGCGTGAGCCAGTGTGGAGGAGGCAAATGAACCAGAAGCAAGAAAGCGCAGTGCTACAAGGAGTTTTTCTTTAGGACACATGAAATTTGTAACAAGCTCCTAATTAGCCCTTAGACCCTCCAACAGCTTGTAAATGGCATTACTGGATAAATTACAGTATGTGTCTCTGTTTTTCCTGACCGTCCTTTATGACACGCACACAGACCCTTCATGATTTCCATCATTGTTGTTGCACCTATGACTCCTTCTCACCGCAACCCCTGCAGACGTAAGGCTGTGCCAGTTTGCACCTGCCTTTCAAACGTGTCAAATACAAATGCAAAAATAGCAACAGCGACCAGTTTCAGATTTGATCAATCCCACTGCAGGTGCTACATGATTACATTTCCCATATACTCCTCCCAGAATTTAGCACGTTCTGATAATTATCTTATATTCTACAGTCATGAAGACAAACATACTAAATTGATTGTGCCTGTTAGTTTGATCATTTGAAGCAGTTGGTTTAGTTTGCCTGTGGTTACACACACAAACCTTTAATAGTTCAGGCCAGTCTGTCTTTGTCACATCTGGAGTATTATGGCGATTTAGTTAGTGTAAAAATATTTAAAAATATTAAAATAATGAAGGATTTTCCCAAAGACCTGAAAGCTGATTGGTTGTGCTGTTGTGTCGATCAACTTTTTTTAAATGACCAAATATAAAAAGATAAAATAAAAAACTGAAATCTTCTGGTTTTCAAGACTTATACAGTTTCTAGTAAAAAGTACTGTATTAAATGAAAAAAGGAATCAAAACAAACAGTTCCTCAATTTTTAGCATGAGAAATCACAAATAAACATTTTTCTTTTTTATTAGTTTTCAAAGTTTTTAGTTACGGTAGCTACAAATCTTCCTTCCTCAGACAGTCAAATCCTTTGGATTCATGATATTTGATTTAGACAAGAAGAAGTGCCACTGACTGCAGAAACAACCCGAACATTTTTCACAGAAGCTCATTTTTAAATGCATCTCTCTTTTCTTGCAGATGAAAATTTTTGATAAAAACATGGACGGTCGCTTGGACCTAAATGATTTAGCCAGGTAGTGTTACTTTTCTATTATTATTGTTATTGTTGTTATTATTATTATTATTATTATTTTGCTATAAGCTAATATCTCAAGATGATATTAAGCATTAATTTCTTGACATCTTTGAATCCTTCCTTTAAATATGTTGTTTTTATCTCTAAGGATCTTGGCTGTGGAAGAGAACTTCCTGCTTCAGTTCCAGATGGATGTAAGCACATTTTGTTATTTTACATGCAGCAGTTAAAAAAGGATCAAGTCTCGTCATATTTATTTTCTCTTCACGAGTTTGAACAATTTAATTTTATCCCCCCCCCCCCTCCACAAAGGCCTGCAGTAAAGATGAGAGGAGGAGAGACTTTGAGAAGATCTTTAACCATTATGATGTTGTAAGTTTATTTATTTAACGTTACTCAATCTATCAGTTCACTTTTATTATTTTACAATCCGTGCTCCCATTTTGAATTTACATACATTTTAGACATTCTGTATATTTGCTAAACAAAAAAAATTAAACAAATATTTTGGGGTTATTTGAGTTAAAAACTTTAATACCAAAAATTACAAAAATACAACAAATAGAAACGGGTTCAAGGGACTCATCGTGTGAGTTTTTTAAATCTCTTACCCAGAAAACAGATCTCAGCTGGATTAATTTGATGGTTTTTGACCTAAATTAAGAATAATATCTGCTAATGTTTGCCACAACACGCTCTCACGTTAGCCCAGTAAAAGGAAGTTCCATGAATCTAATCAGCTCGTTGTACCCGACTAACAGAGTCAATTAAATAAAATATTCATAAAGAAATCAGACTTCGGAACATGACAACACCAACTTGGCATGACGTGACGAGCTTCTGCTTTTATAGACAATTTTACACATATTCAGTTTGTTTATTAAAAGAAATATTTTTTACTTATTGTATCTTTTGCAAAACTGTCCAGAACTCAAGTACTAGTGTGTAAACTAGTTTCATTTCTGAAGTATTTCTGATGAAGCAAGGTGAACATTTTAGTTGCTTTTTTTCAAAGTTGCCTATCTTTGCTCACGCAGCATCTCAAGAGGCCTGAAAGTGATGAAAAAATTCCAAACAAAAGCAGTCCTTCTTTTGTACTATTTGGCCTTGTTTACCTGCAAACACTCAACGTATTTTTGTAAGCATGAAAGCTGCTCACAAAGCATTTTCCTTTTTGGTTTTATTCCCGTTTCGTGTTTCACATGAAACTCTGTGAACTGGAGATGAAAGATGTGAGCTGTGTCACAACAAGGTGGTCTGCAACCTGTGGCTCTCGGGCCACRTGCAGCTCTTCGTTCCCTCTACAAGCGGCTGTTTGTAGCTTTGATCAAAACAGATGTGGACCTGAATAATATTTGCATTCATGACCTGAGAAAAATAACTAGTTTGAGAAGTTTTTTCTGTCCAACTTTATGCAAAGATTTAAACGTAGCCTTTGTTACAGAATTRTACAAAGAAGAAGGAAAAGTTTTATACTTTATTAGTCGTTGGTCAGCTTGTTCTCCACTTCATTAATCCAATTTTCAGTCAAATAGTGAAGTCTTTCCGTGAAATCTTATAAAAAATGACGTTTTTCTTTACATATATGAGGAAAGTTATTCAGAGAAAGAAACAGAAATTGTAGATTTGCTCACATGTGGTAATTTACTATAAGTTTTTAAAATAAGTTTTGTGAGATGACAAAAAAAGTAAAAAACATGTCTTTAATAAACTTTTAAGTAAATAATGATATTTCATTGATAGAAATTATTTCATTATATTATAATAAAACATCCACCAATCTAACTTCCTAAGGAATGATTTCAATACCATGTGTTTTATTTCAAAGTAGGATTTTTTTTACATTTGTTTTTTCGTTTACAATTAAATGACTCACTGTAGGCTTGCAGATGTTCAACTTTATAATGTCCCAAAATATACTATGAAGTAGTATTTAGAGAGTTCTGTTATAGGAGAATATGCAGAATTTGCACATGTTGCAGGTCCTGATTTAATCATTATTGTGTAAAAATGTTATCATCTCCATTTCACACTAACCAAATTTTGTACAGCATAATTTATGTGATTTTTTTAATGTTGAGTAACTCTCACTTCATGATCCTTCATTATCAGGACTTTATTCTCTGAATGGTTGCTTTAAAGTAATAAAATGTGCTTTTCTGCCTGCAAACATGTATGTGTTTCCTTCTGCTCAATGATTTTCAAGAAGACAAAAATAGCTACAGGGCATAATTAATATAACTTTTCAGCATTTACTTACTGTTTTTTSTTCCCGCTTCTGTTGTTCAGAGTAAAACAGGAGCTCTGGAGGGTCCTGAGGTGGACGGCTTCGTCAAAGACATGATGGGTCTGGTCAGGGTGAGGTTATTTCTGTCATCTTTTTTTTCTCTCTCTGTGAACGTCAGAGGATACTGTAGTTATCTAAAAAAATCATTTAATAATTTAAATTAAAACCCAGCTATACAATTATTAATTAAAAGCTTTTAATCCTGTTAAAATGAGGTGGAAACAAAAACATGGGATTTCTTACTCTGAGAGATGCCGCTCATCTTCACGCGATTTACAAAATCCACAAATAAGTGTATCAGTGGGAAAGCTGCATGCTTCAATCTTTTGTTTGTTTTATGGAAAATTTAACATTTAGGACCTGATCGATTAAGACCCAAAATAACGAGCGCTAAATTGTTGTGCAAACTAAACAACAATTTAATAGTGGGGGGTGGTGTCGGTGATTTACTGTTGCTGCACAAATGATAACAGGTAAGGACCGCCCTGTTAAATTGAGGATTTGATGTGTGCTACTGGCAACACAAAGCAAAGAAAATGGCTACAAATCACATACATGTCAACCCCTTCTGATATCGACCTGCATACTGACCAACATAAATATGTAAATTTCACATAAAGTCTGTAGTACTCTTACACAACACAGTGAGGTTGGGAGGCAGATCAGGTAAAATGACAGTTWCAAGTTTCAGGTTTGATCCTTCACACTGCAGGTGCTAAATGATCATGTCTGCATATTCACCTCCAAGTATTTTGTACKTTCTGATAATCATCAAATATCTGCAAAGTCACCAAGGTAAACACACTGAATGGGTTGCACCTGCTTGGCTGCAATGACTGCACCTGCGGTTAATAAAGCAGCTTGGCKGTCAATGCACATCTTTTACACGCTAACCTTTATTAGATCAGGACCTTTGTGTTGCTTGTCACATTTACTGACCCACTTCCTGTCTCCTCTCCAGCCGAACCTCACGGGTCCAGACCTGGACAAGCTGCGTGTTGTTCTGCTGAGTCACTGTGACGTCAACAAGGACGGAAAAATCCAGAAAAACGAATTGGCTCTGTGTTTGGGAGTCAARATGAAACTTTAGAGCTCTTATAGTATGTTATTACTAAATACTGATTCAGTGTGTATTCTGGGGTTAATAATACTACATCATGTTTTGGTCCAGATCAGCCTGAATGCTGGATAATTAAGGTYAATACAAAGTGTTCTGTCAAAAGCAAAACTAGGAGATGAAAGGATTTAAACTATACATCTCTCACCTGTAATCAGTTTCTCGTGCATGATTTACTTGAACAGAAAAGAGAGTTATGTCCATGATATCTCTCTGTTTTTTCTTCTTTATTTGAAGATATGTATGATGTAGGTTGAACATGTGTAGACAAGATGTAGCAGTGAAAGGCATGTTTTTCTGTTTAAAATGGCTTACAGTATGTTTTGTATTGTAATAACGGAACATAGAGTAAATAAACTGTGGCATACGATGACATGTTAATGTGTTTTTATCCTTTTTTCATACTTCAAATAAAAGATATTGACAAATTTTAAGAGCTCAGACTGATAAAATAAAATGAATTAATTGGAAAAATGAGAACAATTTTATTCATTTTAAAACTGTAGGCTTTATCCCATTATACTTTTGCAGAAAGTACGTATAGAATGTATTTACTTGAAATCAGGATAACTGGAACAGCTGGAGCAGTAAGGGGCAATATTGTTTGCAGCAACRTAGGGTTTTTGTTGACTGAAGGTTGTTATGAATTCAAATGAAATGGATGGAAAATCAAAGTTCTGGAAAATATGATGGACTATTTACAGAACATGGATGAGAGAACTAAAACCAACACTGTTAGGTAAATAGAAAGCTCTTTGGGGGCCTAATGGAATGGATCTAAAAGCTTTATTGCTCAGACTTTGTGCCACCACAAAGCTGTGTGGCACGCTCTCTGATGAACATTAAAGCACGCTACAAATATTGACTGGTTTCGACAGCTAACATGTTTTATTCTTGCATGTATGTTGTGTCTGAAACACCTGGGGTTGTGTGTGTTTGTGTGGGAAGAGCCGCTGAGACACAGCTGCTCCTAAACAAACAGAGCTCAGCTGGGACTGAAAGCTTTTAGCCGCTCGTTGTTGAACAGTTAGTGTAGAGCAGCACTAAGCTGGTGAATAAAACAAGGTTGGATCTCTGAATGAACCGTGAATCAGTGGTATTAATTTTATTTTGTACTTTGGTGAAGAGATAAATGAAATGCAGTTTGCTTAATTCTATTATTTTGACCCCTGTAATGTCATTTTTAAAGGAACAACTGTCATATTTGTGCACAGAAAGATTCACCTACTCAGCCAAAAGTACTTCTAAGTATTGTATCCTTGAGCTGAGTGCTGCCTTCAACACCATCTCTCATTCCTCCTCAACAGACTAACCTCTATCTTTACTCTACTATGGTTCAAATCTTATCTTTCTGACCACACTCAGCTCATTCAGATTAAGTCCTTCCATTCGCAGTCTTCCCGTCTCCACAGGTGTGCCCCAAGGTTTGGTCCTCGGACCCCTCCTCTTCATTATTTACCTTCTTCCTCTATGTTACATCTTCTATAAATTTGATGTCCATTTCCACTGTTACGCTGATGACACCCAGCTCTATGTGTCTATGAAACCTAACTCCATCCTCCACTCTCACTGACCGTCTCAGTGAGCTCAATCAAACAGCTTCCTCCAACTAACCTGTGACAAAACAGAGCYCATCCTGGTTGGTCCACAGTCTTGTGATGTCCTGGATGGACTACTGCAACTTCCTTCTTTTTGGTCTCCCCAATAAATCTCTTCATAAGCTACAGATAGTTCAGAACTCAGCTGCCTGTGTCATTGATAAACTTTTTATTAGTGCGCATTTTTTTTATTTCCTCTAGCGGGGTTTAGTAGAATCTCTTGATTTTTAGCAATAGGGGGGAGTTTTTTTCAATTAAAGATAAATTTTAAAGTAACTGTGACTTCAACTTTTTTGATAAATATGAATGCATCACTGGATAGATAATCTTAATATGCTGAAAAAAATTGTGCCACTGAGTTGAACAGTTGTTGAGATATTTGCTTGTGTAGCAAGAAGAAGTGATGACAAATGCCTGCATGTAAACACAGCATTGCTACAAAGGCTAACAACACAGACTGGTGGAAAAATCTGATGGTATTTAGATCGTTTTGAGTCAAAAGTTGAAAAAAAAAAGGTATCAAGTTGAATCTAAAAGAAATGTAATGTCAGATTGTAGAAACAAAGACCAAGGAGTTCCTAAAGAGTTCCTCTTTGTTGTTACTTGAGTTATCAGTTATATACATCTTATCAGGAGTATTAGGGAAAAAAATCCATGTGTACACAAGGATGAATGTGCAAACTCCACCCAGAAAGGCTGCAGAACAGGAGATGAACCTGTGGCTTTGTTGCTGAGAGRCAGCAGCTCTAACCACTGATCCACCATGCCTCTCTAAGATTAAAATATCTGCTGTGAAATAGGCTTATTTCAACTAAATGTTTCCATAATAATAATAATAATAATAACAATAATAATGTTCTCATATTTGCTGTCAATTTGAGAGTACTAACAAAAACAACAGAATTGTGCAATATGCAAGAGGTTTTAAGCCTGAATTTTCAGGTTGCCCTTTCCCCATCACAAAATCAAACAGTCATGACCCAATATTGCTCTGAGCAGCTAAAGACGCCATTAACAGTTATGTAAAAGCTTTATACATGATGGCTCATTGGAACTGCATTTTGTTCATTTATTCTGTGGTGTGCCATAATGGTCACATTACAAGCTTCTCCTCAGGTTTTATTGCCTGTATGTGTGATCTAATGAGGCAAGTAAAGATCAAAAGCAGAGCAAAAATCTAACAGGAAGAAGAAACTATGTGTTTGTGCATCATATACAATAATATACTGCTGAGACCCACTAAATGTTTGGATATTTTTGCCAAATTTGTGCTTTTTAATCCACYTTAATAGACTGTAGCTACTGCTTTGAGCGCATGCAGAAACTGTTCTTTTTAATTTAATGGTATGATGTTTCCTGGCTTTTTAATGACAAGCTGTGGTTGTGGACGAGAAAAAGTTCCTTTGTTATACAAGCCTGACCTCTAGTGGTCAACATGATGTAATTAAATAAACAAGCTCCTGTGAGCTTCTGAATTACTGTAGATCTCTGCTTTATGAAAGGGGAAGTGCATTTCATATAGGACTATTTACTTGAGCCAAAACGAATATTTTTGGTAATCACAGGAAAATGTTTGTTGTGGAACATTCACACTGAAAAATAACTGGATTATATATATA